CACACACACACACACACACACACACACACACACACACACATATATATATATATGTGTGCGTATGTGGCCTGGCCGCAGCTATACGTACACTGCAGAGAACTCGCTGCACCGTAAGTTCAATAGTTCTCCTTAAGTGAATGACTGAGTTTGAGCTAAAAGTAGCACAAGGTATCACCCAGCAATACATGGGTTAGATAAAGTATTGCGACAGCTATGCAACGGCTGTGCATCTGCTCCATTCTACCTACCACTTGGTGATTTATATCCATTATACATACCACAAGGTTATTCATACCCACCATACCTACCACATGGTTATTCATACCCACTATACCTACCAGTTGCTTATTCATAACCATTATATCCACCACTTGGTTATTCATACCTATTATACCTACCACTTGGTTATTCATACCCACCATACTTACCGCTTGGTTATTCATACCCATTGTACCTACCACTTGGTAATTAATATCACACGCGCCCAACTATCACTTCACAGAGCGTCATTATCACGCGTGTCCCTATATTGCAGTTTCGAGTGCCTAAACCAATCAGATCAACACATTCCGAGAGCGGCTTATTTTATTGGCTGTTAGTGTATGCATCTAACAGAAGACAACAGAAGAGTTGTAAGCCTAAAACGGTGGTAGCATAGATAGGATAGTTTAGTAATTTCATACACAGCATTTTTTTTTAATGATATTTAGGGTTTAAGGTTGTGGAGGAGCAGTGGTGGGATATGTGAACACTTCGTTTATGTTAGAGGATACTCAGTTATGCAGAAAGACGTATATATACGGAATACTGCACTAATTTATACACACACACACACACACACACACACATATATATGTATATATATATGCAGTTCGATACAATAATTGTAAACACACGGTTTAAACAGCTGTCAGGCCTACTTACCAGATGCACAGCGTGATTGCGGGATAACATACCTACACCCGAATACACGGTGAAGTTCGACATAACATCCAGAGTCTTCTGATCTATTAATAGACCACACCAGGGGAACCGCTCTGGGCCAATCAGAGACGAGATCGGATAAATGTGGTGGTGTGGGAAGGAGTGAGGATTATGGTAACAATACAAAGCGCACAACAGAGACGTCTTACAACAACTCCCATTCCACAACAGCTTTGGATCTGGATCTAAACCTACCCTAAACCCTAAAGCATAGGTTTATGTCCTTTGATCCGGGTCGTGCAACCTACAAGGTTCTAAAACTCGACAATTTGGACCAGACCCAAATATGTGCAACCAATGGAATGTCTTACAACTCAATGCAACTGCCCGAATGCCTTTTGATCCGTTAACGTATGGTATTGACATAACACATTTCTGTGAAGGCTCAGTTGTACATAACGTGCAGTCGTTGTTATGAGCTGGTGTTAAAAGGTTTCTCTGTATGAATAATCTAGGACACCACACCAACATGCCAAAGTGCTATTTATAGCACACCTACCCACCACAAGTGCTATTTATAGCACACCACCTCAACACGCCAGCGTTCTATTTGTCAAATACACCCCACCACGCCAGCATTCTATTCATAGCACACCAGTTTCTCCCCGCGTGTTTTCCCTCACACTCACCCGTGTCACACGAATTGCGCACGGTGGCTCCGTTGATCTCAATGGGGAAGGACGTGACTGTCTTTGTGGCGTTGATGCTCAGGCCGTGAGTGTGGCCAAAGTCGGAGTGCATAAGCTCTACAAACCGCTGGGCTTCACGCAGGTCGGTAGTCATCAGTAGGTAATCGTCTACGTATCTAAGCAACGCCTGTAGGGCAGGTCAAGCGTAGCATTGGAGATGGATGGATACTAAGAGACGGCTACTGATGCATGTCTTTAAGTGAGGTTGATTGATGGATGGATATGAAGAAGTGTGTGTGGCACATGGTGCAGTGGAGTATGCTTCATAATGTGTACATACAATCAAAGCCTGTAGGGCAGGTCAGGCGTAGCATTGGAGATGTATGGTTACTAAGAGACGGCTACTAATGAATGTCCCTAGTTGGTGTTGATTGATGGATGGTTACTAAGAGATGGCTACTAATGAATGTCCCTAAGTGATGTTGATTGATGGATGGTTATGAAGACGTGTGTGTGGCACATGGTGCGGTGAAGTATGCTTCATAATATGTACATATAATCAAAGCAACGCCTGTAGGGCGGGTCAGGCGTAGCATTGGAGATTGATGGGTACTAAGAGACGGCTACTAATGAATGTCCCTAGGTGGTGTTGATTTATTGATGGTTACTAAGAGATGGCTACTAATGAAAGTCCGTAAGTGGTGTTGATTGATGGATGGTTACTAAGAGATGGCTACTAATGAATGTCCCTAAGTGATGTTGATTGATGGATTGCTATGAAGACGTGTGTGTGGCACATGGTGCGGTGAAGTATGCTTCATAATATGTACATACAATCAAAGCAACGCCAGTAGGGCAGGTCAAGCGTAGCATTAGGAACGGACTGTGTGCGCAGAGGACCACCATTAACTGACATACTGAGTCCTGCATATAATAAAGCTTTTAGGGTTTTAGGGTTTTAGGGTTTTAACGAGGGGTGTTGTGATTCAATACGCACGGACAGTGCTACAAATAGTTACGTTTTGCTGTGTACGTTTTGTAGATCTGGCCTGTGGCATTGTGTCTATCCATAAGTAGATACCATGTCACCGAGGAGATCTGGTCTGTGGCATTGTGTATATCCATAAGTAGATACCATGTATATCCATAAGTAGATACCATTTCACCGACTGAAATGGTGCAACACATTCGCAGAGACTTCGTCGCGACTTGGCAGAGTCATGTCCGTAGACGTGCTAGCAGGACCCCCCTTCCTGAGCCATGTCTATAGTAAAACCCCTAAAACCTCAAGACCCTAAACTATAAAAACCCTAGAACCCCGTAGTACGCAATTTGGTATCCAGGACCTCCCCTATCACACAAAGTTACGTGGGTGAATCCATCACAAAGTTTCTGCAGAATCGCTTGAGGTGTGTGCGCACGTATTCTGGTACCGAACATGTACGTCGGCCATTCAAAGGATAGCAAATCCTCTGGCTACGCGACGTATATAATTGTTGTGACAATGGGCCTGAATCGATCAGTCCCGTCCCCCTCGCACTACACATATACCGAGTCTTACAGTCCATGAGAACAGAAATAAACCGCAGAATGGTGTAGGTATATGGTGTAGGTATTTGGTGTAGGTATACTGCGCCAAGGCATACCTACGGCATCTGAATAGGAAGAACGTCTGGGTACTTTGAGACTAGAAAAACAATCACACACATATGAACAGCACACATGCACACACACACAAACACACACACACACACACATATATATATATAACACACACACACACACAACACACACACACACACACACACACACACACACACACACACACACACACACACACACA